AATTTGAAGTGTTATCTATGTTGTTCTTTTTCCTTTTGTGTTAAAACTGAAAGTCCTATGTATTGGGACTTCTGGTGTTTGTAGACAGAGAGTGTGCTATATTCCGGTGCTTATGCATCGATGGGAGTTGATAATAGTTTACGACTTGATCATTTCTGCAACAACTTTAGAGTTGAAGTGGTTCGGCTCACTGAAGAGGACATGGAGTTCGATATGATCGGTATTGATGCAGCTATTGCCAATGCATTCCGGAGGATACTCATTGCTGAGGTGTGTGCGTTTTGGTTTGGAGTACCTCTTTTAGGTCCATGATGATAATGATATTATTGAATCCTATTGCATACTATGTTAGCTTGCTGCATATTGTTTGAGCTGGTACTAATAGAAACTGATTATACTTGCAGCTTCCAACAATGGCGATTGAAAAAGTTCTCATTGCAAACAACACATCAGTGGTCCAAGATGAAGTTCTTGCCCATAGGTTGGGTCTTATTCCAATTAGTGTTGACCCAAGGCTCTTTGAATATATGTCAGGTTTAATTCAATTATTTCTTTGGTTGATATTTTATCTTCTGGGGAAGAAAAAGATATGAACTTATGGAGTCTACCTTTGTGCATTTGGTAATTCTTTCCTATTGTCCCTTTCAATTGTAGAAAACGATCAGCCAAATGAAAAGAACACCATTGTGTTTAAACTCCATGTTCGTTGTAAACGAGGTAGTCCACGTATCACAGGTATGGTTTTGTGCGTTATGTATGAAACATAAAGCCTTTCTACTTCAGTGAAAAATAATCAGTCTTCCCTTTGTGGCATCTGGCTTATTCTGATGATGTGAGATGTGTAATGCAGTTAAATCAGACGAGTTAAAGTGGTTGCCTAATGGAAGTGAACTGATTAAGGAATCAAGAAATGTTGCTTCAGATTCAGCCTCTAAACCTGAAACTTACACTTCCTTCAGTTGTAGCCAAGATACCTTGCCAGAATTTGCCAATAACCCAATTGCCCCGAAGTATCTGGATATTATTATTTCTAAACTTGGCCCAGGACAGGTATGTTTTACTTGTATATGTTTGTTTCTGTAACTGCTTGTAAAGCATGTCTACATGACAGATTATGCATTTGGTTCAGATCTAATGTCTTTGTTGAGCTTACCATGGTGCTGGTAGATTGGCAATAAAAGTTCTGATGTACTGTTTTCTCGTTAGTTCAGGATATGTTTTGAAGTTGCTAGAAGTTAATTTAATTCCTTTTGAAGTTTGTGAGGGTACTAAAGCTTCCCTCTTTTTCGTTAGGAAATTGAACTGGAAGCACATGCTGTTAAAGGCATGGGAAAAACACATGCAAAGTGGTCCCCTGTGGCCACTGCTTGGTATCGTATGCTTCCTGAGGTGAGTATAGACTGTAATTGTAGATTTCTTCTACTAAACCTTCTTCATTCTTTTCTTTGTTCTACTTCTCTTCAACACAGTATTATTACAAGACATTTGTTTTTTTCTTATATATATATATATATTTAGGTTGTATTATTGGAAGAGGTTGAAGATGACCTTGCTGAAGGACTCAAAAGCAAATGCCCAGTTAATGTATTTGATATCGAAGATCTTGGTAAAGGTGAAGTAATTTTGTTTACTATGATTTGTTGATGCTGAATGTGGATTATATACCTGTAATAGTTTGGTCACTAGCTATTTGATAGTGCTGAGTGGTTTTGCTTGATATGCTTTAGCATGTGAAATCACATGATCTTTGGTTTTTTTATTGAATACATTTCCGAATGAATTATTTGCTGCTAAGCAGGTAAGAAAAGGGCAACTGTAGCGAGGCCGCGAGCTTGTACACTCTGTAGAGAATGCATAAGAGGTGAAGAATGGGAGAAACGCGTGGCAATACGTCGTGTTAGAGATCATTTCATATGTAAGTAATGTGGCTTTCCTTTACATCTTTCGCATGGATGGTTGTCAAATTATTTCTAGAATTTTTTGATGCCATTGCTTGGTTAATATGCTTCTCATTGATTCTAACATAAGTTTGAGCAAAGGTTCCTTGTCTTTCAAAGTAACTTAACTAGCTGCTTCAAGCTTTATGTGAAAGTTTTCTAAGAACTTTCAGTTCTGAATTTTGTTTTCTCCACTTTTCTAGTTACGATTGAATCAACTGGAGCATTACCTCCTGACGTGCTATTTACTGAAGCTGTAAAGATTTTAGAAGACAAGTGCGAACGTGTGATAACAGAGCTCTCGTGATGCATATCTTATACATAGTTACCAAGGATGAGTGAAGCAGTGGACTGTATAAATGTCTCTATATCAGAATTCCAGGGGATTTTCTTCCCTGTCAGCAAATCGTTTTTCTTTTTCATCTTCTCGCTTGGAGGGGTGGGAGGGAGAGGAGGGATGTGGTTCACATTATAAAAAAGTGATTTTTGTAAGTTAAGAGCCATTATTTGTGATGAGCATTTTGCATATTGCTCTTGAATCATATAGCTGTAATACAAGTATTAATGTTTTTGACCCTATGAAGCAGCTAATTCATCAGCCCTTGGTGGCATGAAACTCTGTAAATTTAGATACTAAATTACATCATTTTGTCAGAACTAATCTTCAATGCAGATTATCTGATGCATCAGATCTTTATATTTTGTTGCATTACCAGCAAAATGGCTACCATATGAACTACTCAACTTATGATGTTTAGCAAAAAATCGTTGGGATTTTAATGTTTTGCTGGATAAACCTGTGTTGTTATGAAAGAGCCATTGATTTTGTGTGGTCTTGGACTCCAGGATGAGATATGAGAAAGAAAACAGAGACATACATAATTTAAGAAATACAGGGGCCTATCCAGGAACAAATTTCAATGAACATTGGGCCACATAAGGAGAGAAAGAACCAACTTTGACTGGACTCAATTTCCATTATCTATTAGTTTAATCCCTCTTAAAAACATAATTAAAATGTGAAAGGCTGGAAATAATCATCCATACATGACCCCACCAGTTAGGCAGGATCAAAATGGATTAAATCACTTTGCCTTTGTTCACACCAAATTCTTTGAAATAAGACCAGCAAAAAGATTATAGACTTTCTTTTGATCTTGTGGAGGGTGTGAGAAACTGACAATTAAACCAGATGGGGTCTCACTCTCCCAAATTTTTACATATCTTTCAACTTACCCTATGCAACTACCCACTTGTCCCACTAACCACAAAGATCTAGATAATAAAACAGGATGAGACAAGCAGATAGATACATAAATTAGAGGTTTAACATGAAATGACAAATCTGATTGTTGTGTTTTAGAAGGGACATAATTAGGTATTTGGCAAATCAGATTTTATGAAAATTTTTAGAATTTTTGTTGTTCACACCTCAACAACAATTCACTAACCAAGAACCTTGTGGTCCCCCTTTGATTATTTATTTATAAGCAACTAGCTTGGATGAAACTTTTACATGTAAATCTCGTATGATTCACCTTCCTTCCATTGAGGTATTGTGATCATGTTGATAAGGATGTAGAGTTATAGCTGCAGCAAAAGCTAGCTGGAAAGGAAAGATTTCTTCAACAGTTAGGTGTTTGATTCAAAAGGGAGTTGTTAGGTTCAATCTTTTGTTAAAAAATTCCAAACCCAAGGTGGAAATGAGCTAAGTTGAACATGGAAAAACAGAGAAAAATAAAGAAAGGAGGGTCATGATTTCAGTCCAACTCATACAGATATTCTGTTGGAATCAATGGAAAGAATCTCTGTGTCCCCATTGTTTATACGGTTGTTGCACTTTTCTATAAGTTCCTTGAACCTTTGGTCTAAAAACACATTAAAAATGGTTGGTCCAAGACGTTCCAAAAGGAGATATACACTGTCTTACATCCTCATTGAAAATTTTTTTTACCAACTCATTGAAAAAACAAAAGAAAATTTACATGTTTTGCAGTAAAGCTTTGTGTAATCTATTCTCTTAGTCAATGTAGGGAAAACTATATATCTTTAGCATATTATATATAAATTTTTCCGAAAGGAAGTTTGCCACCAAAACTTGTGTGTGGATAACTGTCCAACCAATTGCAATTTGTTGCAGTTAAAGAGGCCCACCTCGTCTGAATCCTAGCAGACCAATTCCCAGCCATCTAATGTTAGTTTTATGATCATAAGCTAATTAAGTTGAAGCTAACATGGAATCCATGATGTGTCCATAACTTTGGTGGTCATCAACAACAACCCAAAAGCAAAAGCAAGGCTGTTGTTTATGGACCACTCAAAAAATAATAAAGGAAGCCATACAAAGGGACACCCCCATAGCAATAGGTCATTTCCAATGAAGTTTAAGCCTTAAATAGGGAAAAAAAACAACAACCCTAATTTGACTTCGGGAATTAAATCACAAAAACGTTTGGACGGATATAGTTTAATAAAAATGTTTGCGGTTAGATTAGGATCGGGTCGGGTATGACCTACTGCGTGAAATGGTTGATGAAGAGAAAGTGAAAATAAAAACACAAAATTGGAGATATTTATACATAAAGATATCATCAATTTAGTCTCTAATTTAGACTATTTACTATATGAATAGATCATAAAAATTAAGTAAAAAAATCCCATTAATGGGATGAAATCAAGGGTGGTCAACATTTTTCCTTTATTAAAGGGTAAATGAAGAAAAGAAATAATGAAGTGAACTCAATTAGTAAATTCATGATGGCCTACTACATGATAATTTTAATTACAAAAACACATAACTCCCATAAAATATGACCACATCTTCTCATATAATCTTAAAGACACATAAAAAGGTTTACCTATTTTTATTTTATTTTTTTTATGGAAAATAGAAAGATAAATGAAAGGGAAAAGGGGCCCAAAAGCACGAGAGAAGACAGGTTGGAGGAGCCCCTCATTGAAAGGCCCATATGTTGTTTTTATTGATTAAGACATTTGTTGTTGTTTTAAGGACAAAACAAAATACATGCATTGAAATAATTGAACCACCACCCAAAACCCAAAAAGCCTTGCTTTAGCTTTGACCCTTCTTCTCTCTCTCTTTTCATGGTAGACCCAACCCCTCTTTTAACACTCTCTCTCTCAAAAGCTCCTCCCTTTCTCTTTCTTTCTCTCTCTCTCCCTCTCTGTCTTAAAGTCTTTCTCTTTCTGTCTTCTTTTCTTTCCTTTTCCTTTTCTCTCTCTCCACACATTTTCAGGGAAGAAGGGAAGCTATTAAATTCTTTTTTATTTTATCTCTCTACAGTAGTTAGTAAGTGAATGAGAGAGAAAATTTGGCTTCTTTTGGCTCTCCACTTCTAAAGCAAAGGGCTTTCAAAGTTCTGATCTTTGAAACTATATCAGGTACTTCATTTTTTCTTTTCCCTTTCTTTTTTGCTCTCAACTTTTAACTGGTTTTTTGATTTACCTGCTGGGTTTTCATTTTTAGCTTCTACTTTGTTTTTTAGCTTATGGTTCTTAGTGGGGTTTGGATCCAAAGGTGGGTCTTTTGTTCTTTTGAGAGATCTCCTTGAATCTTCTTTACTTTGTTCTTATCTTCTCCTCTTTGTTTTTTTTCCTTCTCTCTGTGCTTAGAGAACTATCATGGACTACATTTTTTTGCTGTGATTTGATTGATTTCTTAAACTCCTTTTTTATTTCTCTGGCCCTTTGATCCTAGTGACTAGAAAGGATTGCATTTCAAAGGTAGTTAGCTGTTATCCTTTTTACTATGATGAAACGATTAACCGTTTTTCTTTATTGGTTTTTTTATTGCTTTATGGAGATGATTCTTGATCTGGCTCTGCATGCAATTCTGTCTCTTTTTAGCCACTTTTCATTGTTTTTCTTTTCATATATGGTTTTCTGTTCATCCTTAATTTCCAGATGAAATGGTAAAGTTTATCCTGAAAGGTGTCGTTATGGCTGCCAATTCATGGATTTAGGTAGTCTGGTACTTTACTTGATCTTGAAAAGGGTGTTGTCATGATCTGGTTTTGATGTTTAATCTATGGATCACCTTAAGGACTACCCTGTCACTTCTAGTTTCCTGTGATATTTTGGTGAAATGAATCAAGCAGCTAGTTGTGGTCTGTTTTTCATTTAGGTATATTATATATTTGAATATCTCATGGTTGTGAAAATTTTGTTTGCAGGTGGTGGCTTTTCTGTTCTTCAGTTGTAGAACTCAGTTTGCTGTTGATGGAGTTGAAGATGAAACTAACTAGGACTGCTAGTGGTGGTAACCGTGCATCAATGATTTGGCGTAAGCAATGGGTTTGTACACTCCAATCTATGTAACAAGTTTGCCTCCTTTCGATGGCCTCAAAATCTGGCGTGAGACGTTCCCTAGAAAAGCAGAGGAGACCATTTGGTAGCCAAACAGCTGAAGGAATTGTCGTCAGCCTTCTCCTATACAAATCACAAAGACAAGCAAATCAGAGCCAGTTACACCAAGGACAGTACCCAAGAGTATGCAGCAAGTTCCATCGAAACAAGATTCTGTTGCAACCACAGAGGATGTAAAATCACTGAAACCTCATAATTTAGAGTCCGTTGATTCCTTGACAAAGAAAGTAGATTCAGGTCTATCCTTGGGTAATCCAAAAGAAGTTCAAAAACATGTTGTGAGTCAGATTGGGGGATTACCAGATGGTTCTGGCGAGCAAGAAAAGAAAGCATCAGAACATGGAATTAATTCAGCTTTGGCTAAATCAAGTGATGTGGCCACCAGCCTTGTCAAGACTAGTGGAGGTGCCAAAGTCAGTGATCGACCTGCTTATACTGAGAGTGGTAAGAGCAGTATGTGTAGAGGTAGCACAAGCAGTGATGTGAGCGATGAAAGCACATGTAGCAGCTTAAGTAGCAGTATCAACAAACCTCATAAGGCAAATGATATAAGATGGGAAGCCATACAGGCTGTCCGAACAAAAGATGGTGTATTAGGTTTAAACCATTTCAAATTGCTGAAAAGATTAGGCTGTGGGGATATTGGAAGTGTCTATCTCTCGGAATTAAGTGGAACAAAGTGTTATTTTGCTATGAAGGTGATGGACAAAGCATCTTTAGCAAGTCGTAAGAAACTTCTTCGAGCTCAAACAGAGAGAGAAATACTACAAGCCCTTGACCACCCCTTCCTTCCAACATTGTACACACATTTTGAGACTGATAAATTTTCATGTTTAGTGATGGAGTTCTGCCCTGGGGGTGATTTGCATACACTAAGACAGAGACAATCAGGAAAGCATTTTACTGAGCAAGCAGTAAAGTATGAGACTTCCTCCTATTATAGCATCTGTAGAGTTAAATGTGGATCAAGTTTCTAGAATATTTATTGTTATCTTTTATTGGTATTAGTCATGTTGTGTTGCCATGCTGCATTGTAGGTTTCTCTGTTATAACTGATAATAGGTATATGAATCAACAGAGAGATGAAAATAGGATTGAATTAGCGCACTCCCATATAGGTTGTCAGTTCTGGTATGTGATGGAGAGGTACAATCATCTTGGAACTTACATATAATGATTGTTGGTTGGCATATGGCCAATTTATTTGAAACTTGGTCTCCCCTTTTATTTGCTTCCAGCTGAAGATTGAAGATAGGTGAAGAAATTAATTTATTGTGATACTAAAGGGTTAATCTAATGATGATATTAACCTAGACCTTTTTTAGTTCCTATTTACACATTGCTGAATCTGTGTCTTTGAAGAATTGCTTCATATTAGAATGTTGAGTTGAATATAACAACTTTGAATTACCCTGTAGTTTAAAAGTTGATATTTGATGGTTATTATCTCTTAAGAATTGTTTGGAAGACTGCTTGTTTCTTTATAACTTGCTGGCAACAGTTTGAAAGCAGATTCTGATAGTCATCACTATGTTTTCCTTATAATTTGCAGGTTCTATGTAGCAGAGGTTCTCCTTGCTTTGGAATATCTCCATATGCTTGGTATTGTTTATCGTGATCTTAAGCCCGAAAATGTTCTTGTTCGAGAAGATGGACACATAATGCTTTCGGACTTTGATCTTTCCCTCCGTTGTGCTGTCAACCCAACATTAGTCAAGTCATCCACACTTGAGTCTGAACCCTTGCGAAGGAATACAGTTTATTGTGTACAACCAGCTTGCATTGAGCCTTCCTGCATCCAGCCATCATGTGTGGCCCCTACAACATGTTTCTCCCCTCGCTTCTTTTCATCAAAATCCAAGAAAGACCGGAAGCCCAAGAATGAAATGGGGAACCAAGTCAGTCCATTGCCTGAGCTTATTGCTGAGCCAACCAACGCTCGCTCCATGTCATTTGTGGGAACCCATGAGTACTTGGCACCTGAAATTATCAAAGGTGAGGGGCATGGAAGTGCCGTTGATTGGTGGACTTTTGGGATCTTCTTGTATGAGCTATTGTATGGTAAAACTCCTTTCAAAGGGTCTGGGAACCGAGCAACCCTCTTCAATGTTGTAGGGCAGCCCTTGAGATTCCCAGAATCACCTGTAGTAAGTTTTTCAGCAAGAGACTTGATAAGGGGCTTGCTGGTCAAAGAACCACAGCATAGATTGGCGTATAAGCGAGGAGCAACAGAGATCAAGCAACATCCCTTCTTTGAGGGTGTAAATTGGGCTTTAATTCGTTGTGCAAGTCCCCCGGAGATTCCAAAACCGGTTGAGATAGAGCGAATTCCAGCCCCCACATCATCAGCTGGTGATAAAGCTGCTGTTCCTGCTGCCAATGATCAGAATAACTATCTGGAATTTGATTTCTTTTAATTGTTTCTCAGAACCATTCTCCAGTCTGTTTTCCTTTCTTTTTTCAATTCGAGAGAAATGTAGAGTTTATGAAATGTTGATGATGTGCAAATTAGGATTTCTAGAATGATAAATGATCAAATGCTTGATGTCTTAAATTTTCAAATTTGTATTTGCATAAGTGAACATCTTGTTGGTTCTGCAATTGTCTTTTCATGAAGAATTGTAGCATACTTCCAAGGCCATAGCCTTTGATTTTCTCCAGGATGTTATAAAAGATCAAATTTAAATAGAGCTTACCAGTGTCTTGTATGTATTTCGTCTTCCCTGCCCCACTTCAATGTCAGAACCTCATTCTAACATTGTAATCATCTCTTCATTCTTCCCACTTGAGGTTAGATGGAAAACCCCCCAACTGTAAATGAAAATCCCACAAGAAAACTTTAATAATTGAAAAAAGAAACAGGAAGACAAAGATGTTCCATCCTTTATACGGTAACATCACATCCTCCCAAAGATATCTCAGCCAATACAAACATCACAATCAAACACTAATTCCTACTTCACAGATTCGACTACATCGCATACACAAGGTCTGGTCTCTTTTTTCTTTCATATCCCCCACTTTGTTGGACTGCTATCTTTTCCTTTTGGGGCCAAGGATCAGCCCATTTTGATAAACTAAAACCTTGGGTACATGTTCATGTTTCCTCCCATGTTTCAATGTGTTATCATCATGATCTCAACTATAAAGTGCAAACTGGTAAACTAAATTTATCCTGGGATATGCTTCGAATTTTCTTAAAAAAGAAAAAAAAAACCCATAACTTACATTACGAACATCCCGTTTTTCATATTTACTTAGATGTAAATTCATATTATTTATAATTTTATTTTTATACGTTCACGTGAAATGTCATACTTTGATATTCTTTTTCATTAAAGTATGACAAACATAAAAAGTTTTTTATGATTTATAGGGAATAAAATTGGCCAACCATGTCGGAATAAAAAAAGTGAAATTAAACAAAAATAGTATTATTAGTTGTGCTGCCATTATAGTTTTCAATAATGTACCAAATCCCCATCAAGTCAACAAACACATGCAATTTTTTAAAAATTATTGGAGCATCTTTTGTTATGAAATGACACGCAATACTGTCAAGGTTCTTGTGCAAAGTTTGATTAAAATACTGTGATTAGCATCCTTGAGGTATAAACCAAGAGATCAATCCAGTAATTTACAATATTTTAAGACCCTTTTCTTTTTAATGCTTAGTGCCTCGAATCCAACTTCTCAAAACGAATATGAACTTTTTTCGCTTTTATATCCGTATAGAACTATTATGTACTAATTCATTTAGAATCGAATATTTTAAAATATGAAGATTTATGCATTCATTGATACGAAAGAAATTTAATTACAGGATAAGAAATAAAACAACTTTCTTAATAAAAGGAAGAATAAAGGGGGGCACCGGAGCTGATTTGATTCTCATATTGGCAAGCACCCAAGCATGGTCGACCAAGTTAAAAGAGATTCCATCCTTGGTCAATTACAGGACTTGGCCTGATTTCATTCTTTCACCCATGGAAGGCCCTTGTATAAGCCGGTTCTCTTTGTTTCTTTTTTTGGTTTCGGCTTTTGGTGAGGTTGGTTACTTTGTCTGGTTTCTAACCATGGAAGGAATACTGCATGTATGGATGGATTAATACCCTTTGTTCAATTGAACTTGAGCCTTTGATGGTACCAGTCTTATTACAAAGAAAACAGTTTTCAGTTTGTTTGTGTTAGAATTTATGATGGTATGTCTGGTTTTTCAGACATGTTTTCATAGTTACAAGGGTTCATGTCATATGATTAAAGTAAGGGTAAATCAGATGATTGCTGTCATTTTACTTTTCTTTCAGATTACCACAGGAATTGATCAGAACATAGCAGAGCATTCATGGGATTTTGTTTTTGTCTCTCAACAATGAAGGGTATTGGTGGAGAACATGGATGGCAATCCAAATCCTCACCCAATACCATGTGAAGCAGGCACATGAAGATTTGAGAAAAACAGGCAAAGAGATTGTCCGGGAAAAATAAATTCACATGTCAAACTGTGACATTTTATGATTGACCAACACATGGGAACATTCTTATTAGCTTATGGGAACTTGTTCCTCTCTTCTTATTTTATATTGGGAATTTGATGAGTGTAAGCAGCAAAGCTTAGCATCTTATTCCTCTCATGCCTCTCCCTCTCTCTCTCATGTTTGGCAGAATCCGAGCAGTTCTCAAAGCAAGAAACATTAAAAAACATGTCTGAAACTTCAAAGAAACTTCCAAGACAAAAGGTGGAAGTTGATTTCATCCCACTTACCCATACCCCCTCCCTAAGTTTTTCCACTAATCTTTAACTTTACACCTTTTGATTGCTTTTAGTTATTTTACTTCTCAAGATAACTTCCATTGGGCCAAACCAATAGAGCATGATCCATATGGACTCAAATAGTATTCGGGTATTTAATTTAATAAAAGATATATGTATTTGTTATTAAAAAAAATTCAAAACCCTTTTTTTAAAATAAAAAGATTAATTCAAATTAGATCGGATATGTTTAATCTCATACAGAGTAATTGGGTCGATCTAGAGGTTCTTGATCAACAGTTTCGACCCTCTAAAAATAGAAACATGTAAAAGATTTAGGTCAAAGATTTCGGTCAAAGATTTCGGTCCACTAGCCAAACTTGGGACAACCCTTAGATGAGTTTATGCTTCTTTAGAGTTCAAGTTGATGAACCCACAAGGAAGAGTAGCATCACCACCCCCCTCCTATTGACCAGGACCTAATACAACAACCATGCATACCAAAGTCTTCCCCCAAAAGGTTGAGAGCATTAAAGATATGTACATGTGCCTCTTTACAAAGAGAAGAAGAAGAAGAAAAGTTTGGAAGGTGATCCATCAATGGATATAGCTTAGTGACAAATCCTCATCAATGTGATTTAATGAAGGGTTTAGAATTTGGAATCAAGCTTTATGCTACATGGCCTACATTTTAACCAAATCTTATAATAATATAAAAAGAATTAATTTAATTGATAAAGATAGATCTTGAGCCAAAGGCCCAGCCACTTGCCCAAGGTTGAGCTAGGTACAAGTAGCATGAGGACACATGCCCTTTAAGGTGTTAAGTGAAGGAAAATCCAGCAAATAAATAAATGAAATTAAAACAAATTAAAAAAAATAAAAATCTTTATGTTAGTAAATTTCATAAATGAAAGTTATAAATTTTAGTCACTGAAAAAGATGTTAATTAAAAGATAATCTTTTTAAGTGCATGTGGAATTAAATAAAAGGTATAATTAAAAAATATATAATTTAAGAAGTCAAATGATTAATATACTTTTATGTTCATATGTTATCTAATTATTTTATTAAATATTCATATAATAACTAAATATTATGGAAATTATAAAAAACAACAACAAAAATCAAGCTAAAAATTTTCTTGTGTGTGAATGTGTGACAACAACTAGTCTACATTGTAGCACACACAACACCTACCTCTCTTTATAAAATTATTAATATTTTTTCCCTTAAGAGAAGAAATTTAAATTTAAAACCCAAATTTATTTATTTATTTTTTAAAAAATAAAATCCAAATTCTTTCGATTTTAACCATTCATTCAGAAAGCTATGGATTATTTGCTAGCAATCTCTTCCAAAGCAGAGCAGCTGCAAAAAACAGAACAGGGAACCCATATTTCAATAAAGTTTCAATTTTTATTCTTTTTTTCTTTCTCTCTCTAGGAAAAGTTTTCACCTTTTTCTGTTTTTTCCTCTCTTTTAGTGATTCTCAAGCTTAAATTTTCAAAATTTAAGCTGTAAGTATAAAGGGGGCAAGAGGGAGAAACTAAGCAGAACCCAGTTTCGGTTTTTGGTTGAAGTTTTAGTTTTAGTTATCAAAATCTGTTCTTTATTTTTTTTTTTGTTATTTGTGAGAAAGGAAAAAGAAAATGAGCAATGCTCATCAAGAAGCTATCAAGCAATTTTTGTCTTTGATGGAAAATGGTGAGATTTAAGTATAAAAATTGACTTTTTTTTAAATCTTCTCTTTTTTTGATCTGCAAATCACTAACATTTTTTCTTTATTTTCTCTTTGGGAAATTTGTGTAGCAGTTGATGAGAGAATGAAGGGCACATTTCAGGTTAGTTTTTTCTTTTTTTTTTCTTTTTTAGTTACTTGGATTTGTTTTGGCTTGGATGCTGGGAAAAGGAGCTGAGGAGAAGAAATAGAAAGTTAGATTTTTATTTATAAGAATTTGGTTGAGTTTCTTCTAGTTGCTAGAATTTCTGTTGTGGACTTGATCTGACTACTTGACGGTTTGCAATTTTATGTTTAAAAGTTTCCTTTTCTTTGTTGGCTCTGATCTATCTCTTGCTTCATTTATCTCAGTTTCCTCTTCTTTGGAACTTTGTCTCTTTCCCACTGTTTTACTAATTTCTGGGATAGTTAAGTAGTTCTGTAACTTGGCAAAGAGTTAAAGAAAAGCTTAGTTGCTAGTTTGATCTTTTGATTAGTTACTGAAACAAGATGTTAGCTTGTTGATGATCATTCAACATTGAAGTGGTACAGTGGAATTGTGAGGTCATTCTTAAAAGGTTTTTAGATTTGATATTAACTTTACAAGCCGGGGATGAAAATTTTAGTAGTGCTACAAAGCATCTAGAGCTAAGTGTGGTGGGTGGATAATTGAGATGCTTATCCTAGGATTTTTTTTCCCAATACCCTTATTTTTTATTGACATTTGGGGTTTTCTGAAGGAATTAAGTTCTTTGTAATGATCTTTCCCTGATGTGACTTGTGTGCCTTCCTGTCTTGCTGCAGTATGTCTACCTGTTTTTATGCACTTGTGTGGATAGGATGGATGATTCGTTGTTCCTTTTAGATACGTGGTTTATATTATGATCTGCCAAAATTTAATGTAAAGTTGAATACCTTGGTCTGTAGAACATGCACCAGGGGTATCCAACTGAAACTTTAGTGCGATTTCTCAAAGCGAGAGATTGGAATGTTCAGAAAGCCCATAAAATGGTTAGATTCATCTACTGTGCTTAAGCTATAACAATAAATTTTTTCATAATAGATCTCATGTTTCTTTTTATTAATTCCTAATTTGTTGCCTGCACCAGTTAATTGATTGCTTACAATGGAGAATACAGAATGAGATTGACAACATATTAGCAGTGAGTTTTTCGGTTGTACACTAATTGATTTCTAATTTTTTTGGTTTGTGATAT